AGGGTGGGCGCTGCCCTCTCGCGCCCCTGAAAGAGTGGCAGCCAGCAGGTGAACGGAAGCAGATCCGCGGCCCCAGGCCGACTGGGCTGCTCCGCTGCCAAGGGTCTGTCTTCCTTAAGAAGGAAACGTTGTCCTGCTGGAGTTCGGGCAAATGCAGACGCTCAGCCTTTTGGCCTGGTGTTCAAGCCTCACATATAGTAGACTCAGTGTAATGGTGGAGATGACAACCCCCACCACTACATTACGATGCATGTTTACATCCCACTCTCACTCTGGGAGTTTAAAGTGGCATGCCTGGCAAGTCTTCCTGGTTTTATTTTTTGCAACAAGCACCTACCTTGGGTTGAGGGATAGTATCTGGCTCAAAAGCACTTGGTGAATGCTGTGGTCATCTTGGTAACCCTGACTGCGAACCAGCATTTTAACCTCCATGCTAAAAAATAAGTAAAATACTCCCTTTTGTTAATGAGTAGATCATGTCTTTCATGAAACCACTAGGTGAGATTAACTAAAGGCTTGGACTGAGATGCTGTGGAGGGATGTTATTTGGCTCCTTCTTTATTAATGAGACGCTGAAAACTCTAACAAAGATACTTGAATTCAGCAAAGGACTAAATAAAAGTCAGTAAATGGAAGTTTAGCTTCGGTAAGATGAAGGTCCTGTTAGCAGATCCTTTTGGACAGTGGTGCTGGTGAATGACCATAATGAAGTCTGATTTGATTTGATAGTGATGATTAATCTATTTTGGATAGGGTTGCATTCCCCTTGAAGGATAAAGGGAATAGTTAAGCATGGAGGTGCTTACTGATCCAAATGGACAACTTGAGCCAGAGAATTGGTTTTTCTGGCCTGGAGTGCCTTTTGCCAGTGCTGGGTACTTGATACTGTGTCTATTTCCATGCTGACATGCCTGTTTTCAAAAGGCATCCTTGAGGTCTGTTGCATGGATCCCCTGCTACATATAGTTTGGTAGTTGATGATCTGAGAAAGAAACTTCTTAGAGGCAATCTAAGAGTTTCTGAGAAAGAAATTTCTCTATTCTGGCAGATCTTTATGGGAGATTCAATTGAGATGGTGCAGAATTTGAGTTTGTGAGCAACCTAATGCTTATGCACACAAAGTCCACTTCAATACAACTATCCTTGTAAGTGTGGCTGCTTCTTTTAATAAAATATAAGGTGCAACTTTGGACTTATCCATACAGCTTATGTAATGAATTCATTCATCCCTTTTTTTGTGACACCTAAATAAGGTTATTATGGTACCTAGTCATGATGGGTATATGATACTCTAAAAGAACAACGAAAGAGCCAGTTTGGTGTAGTGGTTAAGGCATCAGGGTAGAAACCAGGACTTCTAGTCCTGCCTTAGGAACAAAACCAGCTGAGTGACTTTGAGCCAGTCATTCTCTCTCAACCGTAGGAAGGAGGCAAGGGCAAACCACTTCCGAAAAACCTTGCCAAGAAAACTGCAAGGACTTGTTTAGGCAGTCGCCAGGGGTCAAGACTGACTTAAAGTTAAAGTTGACTGACACACACACACACACACACACACACACACACACAAAAAGCAATATCAGTTGCTGGGAGCCATAAATGGGAATGGTCCTGCTTCCAGGTCTTGTTTGTAGTCTCATAGAAGCACCCTGTTGGTAATTGTGGAGGAAGAGTGTTATTCTATGGTGCACTAACAGGTCAGTGCAGATAGATGTATTCCATTATCTTCAGTCAGCCTTGCTTTCAATTGAGCATGCTGAGGATTCTGAAGGTTGTAAGTTAACTATTGAATTGTTTGAACAATTGTGCAAAGCTTTATTAAGAGCAGCAGCTGTTTTTGATTTCCCATTGATTGTTTTTCTTTCTTTCTAGGGGATGGCTATTGCTATTCTAGGGCCCACATTTCAAGACCTGGCTGCAAATGTAAACAAAAATGTCAGTCAAATTTCATATATCTTTGTGGGACGTTCACTGGGATACTTTGGTGGTTCTATAATTGGTGGAATACTTTTTGACTGCATGAACTCCCAGTTACTGTTGGGTAAGTGGAAAAAAATAAATATGAATAATATAGATGGTTGCCCTTGCAGAATACGTGTTGCATATCTGCCCCTAAGTGAATTAGTAATTGTGTTTGCAGATGTACTGTGTTATACAATAACTAGAATTAGACAAAAGCAGTGTGATGTACAAAGTTGAAAATCCTTCTATTAGCTGATCAGAAATGGGATAGTTGTTGTATCAGTTCTTTCCCTATAACGCAGTATTTCTCACCCTTGGCAACTTCAAGCTGTGTGGACTTCAACTCCCAGAATTCTGGGAGTTGAAGTCCACACAGCTTGAAGTTGCCAAGGGTGAGAAACACTGCTTTAACCTCCTCCTGATGGTATTCTGACGTCATGCAAACTGTTGTCCATTACAGGGATGAACAAAAGTGTTGGAAGGAACCTTGAAATCATGTAGTTCAGCTCTCTGTAGAAATCTGCTATTAAACAGAGCATCCCAGCCTCTGTTTAAACACCTCCAGAAGAGTAGAGTCCACCACCTCATAAATTTCTCCTTGCAGGCCTTTTGTTTTCTTGATTGCTCTCTTCTGCACATGCCCCCATCGGTGCTCTTTCTAAAATGTAGTGCCCAGAATTAGACACAATATTCTGACTGCTGTCTTACCAACCAATAAATCAGTCTGTTTTTAATCTGGGTTTTAGCTGTGTTTAGTCAAACATCTACTGCATCCCATTTTTTGCAGTGGAAACCCTCAGCAAAATAGAACATGTGCAGCACTTGTAATATCTAATGCTATATTCTTTGGAGAAGTGTCAAGACTGAACTCTTAAAGTCTTAGGCCAGTGACTCTAGGCTGTGACCCAGAACAATTTATGTCAAAATAAGGAGCACAGAGAACTGAAGTATTTTGATACTTCCTCTTCAGCAATCTCATCTACTAGAAAAGTAAGCCATTTCCTCTTTAACATGAGAGAATTAAGGAAGTACATTTTTATGATAGCTTCCTTATTTGGATTACTTACTTAGAGTATTGCTTCAGGCTGTTTTTTGTGCACTTGTTCAAGTATTTCCAATCCTTTTGCCTTGGTTTCAGACAGTGGGTTTTAGGAGTTTTAAATAAGTTACATATAAAGATCTACAGTGGTACCTTGGTTCACGAACTTAATGCATTCCACGATTCTGGTCGCAAACCGAATTGGTCGCCAACCGAATCAGATTTCCCCATAAGACTCAGTGTAAATAAAAAATTAATCTGTTTGAACCATATGTATTTTTTTTTTAACCACAAAAATATGAAAGTACAGTACAGTACAGTATGAAGAGAGAGAACACTAACCTTGCTTGAGGCAACACCAA